AAATGCATCAAACATCATCTTTTTCAGTCCTGGTGTCAGCAGAAAGTCCATAAAGGGTTGCCAGAAATAACAACATATCTTGTTTTAACCTTAATCAAATAAACCAACTTTATATTCCTTCCTTTTACTTCTAACAGTCTTAATCTTTAGTTCATTCAAATATTATCATAGGATTTAATTTCTCTCCATTTCTTCAAGGCTTTACTAAGCCTCTTTTGTAAATCCAGTAAGAAAAAAGTACCCAGGTCACTCTCTTGTTTTGTCACTTGTATTTCCTTTTTAAAATTTAAAACCTCGTCCAGTTTCTTTTGTAGATCTAGTGAAACATCCTCTTCTAAGTCATTCTCTTGGCCTGTCAGCTGTAAATCCATTTTCAATACTATCTCTATCTTGTCAGATAAAATTTGTTCTACATCTGTCATTTCTTCAATAACATCTTTTGGACACAGTCTATCCATAGAAGCAGACATTACTGACATTGTTGCTATTGTGGCTACTATTTTTTTATTCCATTCTTCAAAAGTCTCCTTCGGTATTTTCATTGTTATAACGTTTTGCAACATTTTACTGGCATGTAAATCTTTACTTAAAAATTTTAGTCCCCTCTAGTGTCCAGTTTTTGAAATTATGAAATTGCTTATCTTTGTTTTATCTTGTAAAAACCCAAACAGAATCTATTTCCCATGAGAAGCTGTTTGTTCTTTATAAATAATTCCGAAATTTTATTGTAAAAGTTTCAGTATTCCAATTTTATCTGGACCCTTGGTCTGCTTATAACTTTCTAAGATCAAAATCTTTTTTAGCTTTTTGCTGTTTATTTCAGATTCTTTAAATTCTTAAGCTTATGATTAAAATTTTCTTTCAATCAGGATTGAAGGCAGACTTATCGGGTGGTTTTAAACTTGTCAGTCTGAAGGTCTCTGATAACTTAGATGTAGTTAATAAGCAATTTCCAAACGTGATTAGAAAATGAGGTTTGTGAACTTAGTGTCTTTTAAAAGTCTCTGCTGCGGTTGTGAGCAAGATGATTAATACTGACGTCTCCTGGCACTCAATCCCACAGAAAACCACTGTCCTGCAATCTCCTCACGAGAAGCAGCCATCCAGAGCACATGTGGGCAATCTCCCATCCTCCCCTTATCCAGAGAGGTTCCAAGGAACTTGTCTACTCACCAATTCCTTGGGCTTTGCTGCAACTGTCGGCTCTGCTTTCACGGAGCCATCTTCAGTTCACTATACCTCCCCCAGAAGAGCAGATGACCTACGTGCATACTTTTTTGGGACAATACAAAAGGGAGGATGCAAGGATAAGGGGGCAAAACTTCTAAGATTACTCCATCTTCTGAAAAGATCATGCAATAAAGCCTCCTGAAGTTCAACTTCACTTACCCATTCAATTTTATCCACACTCCAATATTTTTTTAAATCTCGGAACTGCATCAGCATTCCCTTCAGCCCCACCACAATGATACTTGCTAGCACACTCTGAAATGAAAGAAACATTTATTACAAGGTGAAGTTCATTAAGTGAAGTAAGTAACAAGGCAGCAGCAGACACTGTATGATATCATTCTCCCTCCCAAATATACATAATGCAAAATGCAAAATTCATTAAAAAAAAAAAAGGTAATACAAAAACCGGAAGCTGTTTAGCTGAATGGAATTGTTACACTTGTGTGTACCATTTGTTCCTGTAGTTTCTGTCCTACCCCACAGCTCTTACTTTTTAAAAAAATTTAAGGTGAATTTGAATATCAGATCAACTTTTTTCTGAAGAAAGCCTTTAAAGGCCTTTAAAAGAATATCAGATATTCAAATTCACCTATTTTGTATCCTTCTCTAGGATTCTTCTTGGTTTTATACTATTATAGGCATACAATATCCAAATTACAGCTTTTCTTTTCTCTGTCTGGACCTTCAGGACTAAGGTAGAAACACAAAAAGTTTAGTACTTCTTAGAGAAAGCAGATATGATGACTGTTCCCTAGATACCTCTGTGACAACTTCCAACAAGCAATAGTTTCCACAGTGCAGCATAGAGTGTCTGGATTCAATCACCTTAACAAAATTGAGATTATGGCTCAGTGTGATACATGAACCCTGTGTAGCTCCATTCTGCTGCTTAATCACCATTCCCCTAATGAAGAGCCTGATGAGTTTTCATAGTCTTTTACAACTATAAGTGGATCAAATAGGTTTTTATATACTCAAAGATGAATATAGACCAGCTATTTCCTTTCTTCAGTGGTGGCCAACTCATGATTAAGGTAATGACCTGCTGGCAATCATGGTATCTTCCACCTGTACAACGCAGCCTTCTTCTTGGGTTTTATTATTTTTCTTGAATGAATCTGCAATCAGTGTGCACTTACATATATAAAATTAAGCTCCATGAAATGCAGGGGGATTCCCTTCTGCATATCATAAAAAGTAAAAACTCCTTTGAATCAAAGTTGGCTCTTGGAGTCTATTCCATGCACACTGATTTCTAGCAACAGTATATTTTTCTCTTATAATCATATCTCATCTTTCCACCAGAAACTTAAAACAACATATGAAAAACAGCCATGTGGAAGTGGTGAACCACTGCCTTCTTCTGGGATGGGTTGTTTGTTTTACTTCCCAGCCTAGCCGATAGCTCAGGGATTTTCTAATGGTCTTCCATCAAAGCTCTAAGCAGATCCAACCTGAACCAGCCAGGCAGCTCAAGCAAATTACCCCGCAGTTGCTTCCCTTTCTCCTATTTACCTAAGTCCCTATGTAAGCACTTTTGTTACACACAAAAGCTTTTTCTTTCTTAAGCAAAATGTAAGTGCTTCTCTCCTTATACACTGGAAGGATAAATTATGTCCTTGTGCTGGGGCCAGGAACTCCAGTTCAGTCCTGCAGCCTATTGTAATCTTATACAGTAGGTGCAAAGTATTTAAGCTTCTGCAATAATTTCCACTGAAAGCAAGCAACTTTGTTCTTATCCAAGTAAAATAAAGAATACTTTTTTTGCATATTTGTTCCTGGCACACAGCAATGGTGTGTTCTTCCCTTTTAATGAAATCATAATGAAAAGTAGAATGATCGTTTTCAGAAATAATAATTTAAACTAAACAGTTATACAATGCAAATAATAATGATGATGATGATGATGATGATGATGATGATGATGATGATGTTTAAAAGAAAAAAAAGAATTGTACCATGGGTAGCCAGTATAACATTGGTCCTATTGCATAGATGACCACAAGCACCAATATACAAGATATCAGACAAGCCACCTAAAAATTGTTGGAAAGAAAAAAGTATAAATAATCATATTATTCAGATTCTAAAGCATGTATAAATAAAAGTGCTTGGTTTTCTCAAAGTTGCTGAGAAAAACAAACCTCTGCTGACATACAAAAATTAAAGGACTTTTGGCTCTCATATGATCTGTAGCTGAAAGCATTTGAGAAAAAATTAATATTTGACTTGTTATGGGGTACTCCTACCCTATTCAAGAAGCAAGTACATGGGTCAGATAATAGTATATACAATATAAACACAAAAGGGGCACTTTTTTATTTCAGATACACCATTAAAGAATAGCTTTAAAGAAGAAAACTCAAAGACGTGAAGTTGTGTTTTTTTAATAACAATGCTTTCACTGTCTGCTTGTATATTTATAAATGTTGGAATCCACAGATATTTGTGTACCCACATTTCATTTAAATCATGTATGGTGGATTTACATTTGCATAGATGCATATGTAACAAAACCACCTCTTGGAAGCTACCGTGGCTTTTGACCATGGTAGGAAATCTGAGAAATATTGTTCTAATATATCTGGAAGTCTTCAGAATGGAGAAGACTGCTCTAGTCATCCCAGCAAGCTAACACCAGTGCTAAGAAATGTTTCTCTATACTAGAGAATT